CCAACGGGGCTTGGGTCGCGACTAGGCGCCCCGGCGTGCTTAAGTGGTGCTTAAGTGCCACGCGCTTAGCGCTCGCGCTTAGCGTTATCGCGCAGTAGGAACTCGGGGTCGGACGTCCCGAAACTTCAGTCCATGCCCCGGGGAAATACGCAGAAACTGAGATCCCTCATCCCCGTCCCCTCAGCGTCGCGGGAGCGCCCGTACGAGCGTCTTCGGCCTCTGCTTCGCCTCGCACGACATGGAGTAACCCGGAGTACAGTATACCCCATGATGAAGTGGTCAGGGACACCACGCTCAGTGAGGTACGAGTCCATTCCGTAACGGGCGCTTCCAAGGCTGTAAACCCCAGATTCCGGAATCATTTTCCCAAATCGCTCCCTCGTCGGTGGTGGAATAGTTGGGTCAGTCCTCATGGCCTTGAGAAGCGAAGGAATAAAATTAATCATACTTCGTCCAGCCGGCTGGCCCCACCAAACCTTCGAAGCCCTGGTAACATCTGCCCGCGGCTTTAGTATCAACCGGACATCATTCGGCGGTAGCTTGTCGTTTAGTCGAATAACTAAACTTTGAAAGCGTGCGCCTGGTGGGGGCCATAATTCAACGATTTTGCCAACATTTCAGTTCGGCAGTCGACCCACGCGCGTGGTCGACGGAGGACCTCCATGACATACTACAGCCGGCGGCCCCAAATAATAAATAAATACTTCTATGGCCGCGGCTAGCCCTATGGTTGTTTTCGGCCTTGCAGCCAACCCACCCCTTGTCCGCGATCGAGCACACCGACAATTAGAGGAGCGGGTCAGGACGGTCGTCGGCTCAGACCAAAAATGGACCGTGTCTCTCGCTTTTTCGGAAGCTTGCCTGGGATCGGTAGCGGTGGAGCACCCGATTCTCCAGCCGTCGACTCGGCGGAGAAAGTTCAAATATCCTCACTGGCTCTACTGAAGATGCTGAAACATGGTGAAATTCGAAAGTGGCCGATCAATTATATTTCTGCGATGCAGGTCGTGCCGGTGTGCCAATGGAAGTGATGGGATTGATGTTGGGGCAATTCGTGGACGACTACACAATCAATTGCGTCGATGTCTGTAGCCGGGTCTCGAAACGTCACATCTATATACTTCGTTGATTAGGTTTTCGCCATGCCTCAGTCTGGGACGGGTGTCAGTGTCCTTTCCGGTGCATCTAACATCGCTTGGCGCCTCGATTGAATCACACCAGGTTGAGGCTGTTGATCCCGTCTTTCAGACAAAGATGCTTGAAATGCTGAAGCAAACAGGACGGCCAGAGATGGTTGTTGGTAAAAATATGTTAGAGCCCAGGCCCAGGGGGCCTCGACAAGCTTATGTAGGCTGGTACCATTCTCATCCTGGATTCGGATGCTGGATGTCAGGTGTGTTTCCCGGGGCATTTTTTAGATGTTGAACTATCTTCTAGGTGTAGACATAAACACCCAACAATCCTTTGAGGCACTCAATCAGCGTGCAGTTGCTGTTGTCATTGATCCAGTCCAAAGCGCCAAATGCCAGCGTATTCGCATGTGGCTGTCACCCAGTGGTGAATGCTGAGCGCATTAGGTGAAGGGAAAAGTGGTCATCGATTGTTTTCGCTTGATTAATCCACAGCTGATGATGCTTGGCGAGTACTGGGCTAAGGCCCCATGCTTACATGGATTTGTTTTGGCATGGCTTAAATTATAGGGCAAGAACCTCGACAGACTACATCGAATGTGGGTCACCTGAAGAAACCATCGATCCAGGCCCTGATTCATGGCCTCAATCGCCACTACTACTCGATGGTGCCCGCTGTCGGGCTGTTCACTTTTTCCGAGGCATCAATTACAGGTGATAGACTATCGTAAGAACGAGCTTGAGGAACAGATGCTCACGAACTTATATAAAAAAACGTGCTTTCACTCATAGCATGACCAAACAAATTACATTTGTGCCGCAGGTGGGTCGTGGGTCTTAAAACTCGCCAATTCGAGTTGCATTCAAAATCTAATCACAAGATCATTGCAACTATGACGAAGCGTTCTAAGCAATATAACGAATGCATCAAGGATGAGGAAGGGAAAACTGCTGAAGAAGTGATTGTCGCCAATGTCGGTAAAATTGACCCCAAACGCCACCTTGTACGTTACTGCAGTGCCAATTACAAGTACATTCACAGCTTGTTCTCAGTCACAGCTTGTTCTCAGGAAACTAGTGTCGAGGAACTTATGTCTCAAAATATTATACAGCTTCTTGGTGCCATGCTGGCTACAGTGGTGTTCTAGCGTCCATGGTGCAACAGCATGTAGGCGACTTGCAGAAGTAAAGGAAAATTTGGGCGTGACCAAC